GCACCCAAGCAAGATGTGTTACTATGCCAGGACCGATTTCGCATGCGGAGACTGGAGATGGGGAAACATGAAACAGCGATGCCCTCGACAGCCTCGCATTGGAGAGACTTGCGGCGCTAAACTTGTCGACACCGAAAATCTGTCCAAAAGTGACGAAGACTGTAAAAATTGCCAGGAGATGGCCGTCAAGAAGAGACGACTCCAGAAGGAGAAGGACAACCTGACACGATGGAGGACCGAGGGCGACAGATTCACAGCCAGCATCGCCAAAGCCGAAGATGAGGTTGCCCGCCTCCAGAAACAGATCGACGAGTTGAATGCGAGACGCCCCTCTATGATGTTCAGGGCCAGAGCCAACTGGGGGGTGGAGAACCTTGCACGCAGACCACAATAAGGTGTGTCCGAGCTCGCAGGAATACGACCCAACCAGCGGTTAGCTGGGATGACCAGTCCTTCAGCTGGTTGGCCGACCGTTGCATTTGTTTGAGATGCCACGCTGACCAAAAAGCGAAGAGCTTGTGCCGCAGGAAGCACAATCCGGGGCCATCACCCTCCAACAAGAAGGACAATTGGTGAATCGGACAGGTGCTGTGTTGGCTGAAAAGGCCGTGAAAAGGCTGCATTAACGGGAGTTCCACATTGAAGTGACGACAAGGGAGTACTTCGGCTCTACTCGGAGAGTATAATCGGGGTTGTGGCGACTCAGGAAGATTGCAAAAGGGTCAGGAAACATGTCTCGTGCTTTGGGGGGGAAGGGGGCGCCACGGCTTGGGGGATCAGATTGATCGCATGTAGGCAGAAGCTGTGTCGAGGAGCGCTATTCTGAATAATGACCTGCTGTTTTCTCTCTCTTTGATCATCCTGGCAAGTATGACCATCACGCAGGAGGGATGGAAGCGTCCTCTGTAGGCGCCGTGGTTGCATATGTGTGGAGTTTGGCCCGAACACTCTTTCAAGACGAGAAGAGCTCTCGATACATGTCTTTTCTGCGGGGGATAGCCTCGACGCACTCTCTACGAATGTCCTCGTGAGTGTCTTGCTGGAATACAGGGCTTGTAAGCTTCCGAAGAATAGGTGCTGATCAGCCTTGCTGGAGGATTGACGTCGAGCACTTGAGCGGTGGACGAACTAATTAGAGCCCCTGATGCGGACGAGCAGGTGATCAGCCCTGCACACGAGACACCATACCTGAGACGGTTAGTTCGTATATTTAGACCCGGCGGCTGGAACATCATTATTCCACTACCGAGGTTGGCCATGCAGCTGCCATGCACGTGTCATGTTACCCCAAATAAAGTTGAACTCCCCCGCACTTCCATCAGAAAAGCCGGCGAGGCTGCGCTGTTGGGGATGATTGCACTCTGATATCGCCGAGGCAAATCACCGGTCCTCCCGCCGGAGCTCAATGTCGGTAAAGGAAGAAGGGAGAAAAAAACCCAAAGCCGACGATATAGCTTACGGCTCTCGATCCTGGCAAAACTCAGAGAAGACCTTCTCCAGAGACAAAGGCGCCAAAACTCCTCGCCAATCTCTTATTCCCCATCAAGGACATCTCAGTAAGATAGACCATCTGGGCCTTTTGACGACAACAAGAGAAAAGAAAAAAGATCCTATCTCATCATCCAAGATGGCGCCTACATTCCCCAACCTCAGCATCGAGTCACCGCCCTCGGCTCCAGGCGTGCACGTCATCACCATGCAGAAACCGCCCGAGAACCGGCTGAACCAGGCGTACGCGCAGACCATCATCGACGCGCTGCGCTACATTGAGAGGGAGCTGATGAAGCCCGACTCGCCGGGCGCCGTCATCATCTCGTCCTTCTCGGACAAGTTCTGGTGCACGGGCCTGGAGCTGGACGAGTCCGACACCAACATCTACGCCAACGCCGACGGCTTCTACCCTCTGCTGGCCACCCTGGTGGACTACCCGTACCCGACCGTCGCCTTGATCACGGGCCACACCTTTGGCGGCGCGTGCCCGTTCATGCTGTCGTGCGACTACCGCATCATGAACAGCAAGCGCGGCTTCATCAGCATGCCGCCCGTCAACCTGGGCCTGCACTTTGACGGCATCGGCGCCCTGCCGCGGCTCAAGCTCGGTCCCAGGATCGCCCGGAAGATGCTGCTCGAGGCCCACAAGTGGACCGGCGAAGGGGCGCTCAAGGACGGCATCGTCGACGAGATCTGCGAGCCGGACAAGATGAGGGAGAGGGCCGTCGAGTTTGCAAAGACCATCGCCCCCAGGGCCACCATGGGCGTCTACGGCTTGTTGAGGGCCGAACTGTGGGGTGAGGCGCTGGACAAGTTCAAGGCCATTAGCTACGTGCACAGGAAGAGAATCGGCACCGCCGCAAAGGCCAAGATCTAGATTTTGAGAATTGTATGCATTGTATGCACAAAGTACCAAAAATTTTTAGGCCTCTCTAAGTCTGCTTCTTTCCCGACTCGCCTTTTTCTTGTCTACAATTTTGACTTGACGGCCCCAAACTGTTCGCGTCCTCCCACCCCCAATGCCAGGGCTTCCAGTCGTCTCCTGGCATTCTCTTCACCCTCGCCCATCACAATTTCCTCAGTCTTCCAGTCCGGGTTGAAGGTCAGCTGGTTCAGGGGATTCTCCTTGTGTGCCTTGTGGTAGAGTCGATTGTATACGTCACCGTCATAACTTCCCAGTGCGCTCTCAAGCAAGTAGTCTGGGATAGACCAAGCATCCACAAGTCGAACAGCGTGAGGCCGCACTTGGGTCATCAGATCTTGGATTGCTGGTGTCACATGCTGCAACTTCTCGACGGATATCGCCCTGGACAGCAAGAATTCCGAAGCGGATACGTCCAGGGTGAAGAGAGAGAAGAGGCGGAACAAGACCCTCAACACGTTCAGGGTTGCGGCATCAATGGGAGGATTCGGGGTGCTCTCGAACACGGCATTGTAGAAATTCGAGACAAGAAGACTTTCCGAGTGAGCTCGACTGAGTCTGTGCAGGCTGATCATCATGCTCGTCCAGGGCTTCTTCTCAATGACTCTTGCCTGGTAGACTTGATAGGAGAGATATGAAGCCCTGTGCTTGAATGCTTTGACTAGCTCCTGTGGATCTCCAAGGATATCAAAATCATACGACTTTGACTTGTTGGCCACAAAGTCTTGGAATTGGACGTCCACGGTATCCGTCGGCTTCAGTCGAGGATTCTTCGTGACCTCGGTCATCCTCTTGATCAGGTAGGCAGCGGTTTGTTGTGTGATCATCCAGTTATCTCCCTCTACGGTGGGTTTGGATAGGTATTCATTGTTGAGGGCGATCATGCCGCTCCCACCTCCGAATCCGTGACCTCCCATTGACCGACGGCAGGTCTCGATGCCATCGGCTGCCAACGTGGTGCATAAGGATTTCAAGCCAGAGGAGGCTGCGTGCATCTCAGCCAGACGGGAGAGGTCTCCACTCTTCTCGATCTGGTCTCGGGTGCCGTAGTAGAGCTTGTACATTGCTTCGCCAGTGTAATGCAGAGCAAAGGTGGTGGCCAGAAGTGGGAGAATCCGGATTTGGACCGTGGGATAATTAAGCACGGCCTGTTCAGGAGCGCCTGCGTCCTTTGCATCTCGGTCTGAAAACTGTCGACGGATGGAAAGATAGCGAACCGCAACCGTAACTGCTCTAGCGAGGACGAGCCTTGCCTGCATGATGATCTGAGCACGGACAAAGGTCAAAGACCCGTAGACAAGGGCAGCGTTTTTCGGTTTGATGTATGTCCCGCGCTCTGGATCGACTCCAGAATACTTGGACAGCAGAGCCGAATGAGGGACTCTCAGCTCGTTAAAGAGCATATAGCCGTTGTCCATGGCAGGGTAACCATACTTGGGGCCGATATCGCCAATCACAATGCCGTCCAATGGCTTGTTCGTTTTCCTGTCCCGAATCTGAACGATGAACTGGTGTGGACCATAGGATTTGTACTTTCCAGTATTGGGGTCTGGTAGCAACAGCTGTGCAACGACAATAGCATGACTTGCCGTTCGGCCCAAAGCACCATTCCACCATTTGCTAGCCGTGATTGTTGGGCTGTGGATGATGAACTCCTTGGTCTTGGGGTCCCATTTGGCTTGACATTCGATGCCCCTGACATTGCTGCCGTGTCCGAGCTCAGTCTGCCCATAGCAGCCAATGATCTCCCAACTCTCCACTTTCGGCATCCAGTAGGCGTATTGCTCTTCATTGCATTGCTCTCGGATCGAAGTGATGAACATAGACCCGTGGAGGGCGTATGGCCCCATCTCATCCGTCAGATAATCGGCCATGAGATAGTCTTCACGGTCCCAGCCGTGTTTGACAGTCAATCTCCTAATCGCCTTCGCCCGTGCCAGTCCAAGATGATAGCGGTCTGGGCGGGCCATGTTCAGCTGATTCTTCTTGCAGAAGATGGGGATGGGCTCCAAGACATCGAGGATCTTCTTCTGCCGATTGAGGAAGTCATTGCGCGAGAGCAGGTGATTTGCGAGTTGGTCTTTATTCACGCTGGACCCAGCTCTCTCTTGGGCCAGGACATCTGGGCCCTGGGGGTCAGCAGGCCGAAGCTTGTCGGTGAAATCAGCCATGGCTGGACTCTCGGATGTATCTGGTAGACAGGGACTTGCAACAACGTCCACAGGATGGTTCTTCTGAGGAATGACCAGACCGCGAGGCGTGAGGTCGAGAATGAAGAAGGGACTCGGTCAAGAAATACTCGGATATCTACTCAAAAGGCCGTCAGTATTTCGGAAGTTTGTGGTTCGATCACAGTTCAATGACAACTTCTCCCCTCATCGCAGCCAAACTGCCGAGGCTGCCTGCGCACAATCGCCGCGGATGGCAAACTCGGCGTTTTTCCCTTTGGAGTGTTCAAACCGCATGCTGAATCTCCCCCCAAAACTGACTTTAAAAAGTGCCGGGGGCCGCGCGAGCAGCTGCCCAAGAGCCGCAAGATGCGGACGGTGGTGTGACAAAACAGGAGAAACAAAAAAAATCCAAAGCGATGAAGCAGCAGCAGCAACAACCGCCGCCGCCGCCTTTCGATAGAACCGACTTCGTCCCAAGTCACTCGGCCGACCACATTCTTCCCGCCGACCCCCTTTTCAACCGCCTGCTCACCCTTGCACATCGCCCCAATCCCAGGCCGGCGATACGCGATGTCAATGCAGGGATTGAAAGGACAGCCGCCCAGCTCCTGAGTGACGTCCTCGTCCTTCGCCGGGTACTGAAGGCTTCCTTGACACACGAAACCGTCCAAGACTTGCAGAATGGGCGAGAAGTCTACGTCAGTCTAGTGGCACCCGGGGGTTATGAATTTGTGGTGGGTGTACTCGCCATCCTGGCCCTGGGTGCTGCCGCCTCGCCCTTCAGCACCGCTCAGCCCGTCAAGGAAGGTTGCTACTATGTCAACAAGGCGAGGTCGGTAGCTCTCGTCACGGCGACGCCAGCTCTACAGCTAGGTGAGGAGGTTGCACGCGAGATCCGCAACACGACAAATCCCGATTTTGCCTGTGTGCCCATCAGTGTGATTGAACAAGAGCCTCCTTTTCCACTGGACGATATCAAGATCTCCTCCAACCGATACCTAGATCCCAATGCCCCGGGCGTGGTCATTTTTACCTCTGGCACCACCGGCCCACCAAAAGGAGGCGTGCTCCGTCGCGCTGCCATGGTGGATGGGTCGATGTGTTTTGCACAGCAGATAGGCCTACAGGAAACCGATGTTCTTCTCCATCTTCTTCCCGTTCACCACGCCACTGGAATTTGGGTGTCATTCTTCCCCTTCATCCAGACGGGTGCCTGCATTGAGTTCAAGTCTGGCAGTTTCGATCCAGAATGGACGTGGAATCGGTGGCGGCAAGGTGGGCTGACGCACTTCACGGGTGTACCGACGATATATATGAGAATGATGCGGTACTACCAGGAGCGCATTGCGAAACTCCCCCCGAATGAGGCAGCGGGTTACAAAGCCGCCGCCGCCGCGTTCAAAATGTGTTTGTGTGGCACCTCCGCCTTGCCCAAACCGATCAATGACTTCTGGACAAGTCTCCTCGGGAGGCGGATTGTACAGCGGTACGGATCGACCGAGCTAGGGGTCGTCTTCAACATGCCCGCGGACCCCAGCGAGGACATCCCCGATGGCTCCGTGGGCGAACTGACCTATGGCGTGGACGTGAAGCTCTCCGAGGGAGACGAAGGCGAAATCCTCGTCAAGTCCTTCACCATGTTCTCCAAGTACCTGCACGATCCCGAAGCCACGGCAAACGCGCACGACGCCGACGGCTACTTCAAATCCGGCGACGTGGCCCGTCGAGAAGGAAAGTACTACTTCATCGTCGGCCGCGCCTCTGTCGACATCATCAAATCCGGTGGGTACAAGATCTCGGCGTTGGACATTGAGCGAGAATTGATGGCTTTGCCGTACATCGGCGAGGCCATGGTGGTAGGTGTGCCCGACATGGAATTCGGGCAGCGCGTCGGCGCAGTCATATCCCTGCGCAACGACGAGGTAGCCCAGGAATTTTACAGGCAGAACAATAGGGACCCCGACAGATTGAGTCTGGACGACCTGCGTGCCGATGTGCGCGATCGTCTCGCCGGGTACAAGCTGCCGACCCTGCTGAGGATCATCAAGGGCGAGCTCCCCAAGAGCGGGACGGGGAAGGTGGTGAAGAAGACTCTCGGACCACAGTACTTCCCGGCCAACTACATTGAAGACAAGGACGTGCAGATCTGGTCGAGGAAAGCCACCGCAAGGGCGTCCAAGTTATGATTCATGCTATAAAGAGGAAATTAGATTTTGAAAACTGCTGCATTAGACTAGACGGAGAGAAATCTAGGTAGAGAAGAAAGAACTTTCCGAGACGAAAATACTCGGTCGGAGACAAGCTTGTTCTAGATGACACAGGCTTAACTTGTTTGATAGCCAACGTTGTCGTCACTAGGATCTCCATCCTCATCTTTATGCCTCCCATGCAGAGGGACCCCTGACAGAGCCGGAAATTGGCTGCCCTCGCGAGCGGACAGTTCTGTTAAGACAAGCCGGGAGAATCATCGGTCATCGCCTCCCAGTTCTTGACTTACCAATGGATCCTTCCCCAGCGCTGGCCAAAAGTCTGCGTTGTAGTGACTGTGGCAGTGATGGTCGTGGTCGTGGACGAAATGATGGTAGTGGTTGCAGTGTCGGTTTCCGTGGTGGTTGTGTAGCGCGTCCGGGTACCAGTCGATGTAGTGAAGGTTTTGGTCGTCCTCGTTATGGTGCGTGTCTCTGTGACGGTTCCTGTAACGGTGATGATGGGACCGGTAACACTTGCAGGGCCTCCAGAGATGGTGACTGTCACTGTCGTGGCTGAGGCTGGGCAGCTACTACTCGTTGTAGTAGTAGCTGTTGCGGCGATGGAGCTTGTGCTAGGGTCAACAAACGAAGTCGTAGTCGCAGGGGACGCAGTAGAAGTCGAGTTGAGGGATGACGTCCAAGTGGTGGGCCGGGTCCTCGCAGAAGTGTGAGACCAAGTTCTGGTAGTTGCGTTTGAAGAACCATCTGTGCTGCTAGCCCAAGTAGAGGTTCCGTCTGCCATAGTCGATGTTGTAGAAGAGCTAGTCCATGTATCATTGGAACCAAAGCTTGTGCTTGTCGTGGCTGTGGTGGCATGAGAACCCGTCGTGGAGGGATCGGCTGTAGTAAAGTTTCTGCTAGAGGAAGCAGACCATCTGGCATGGCTGCTGCCCCAGGTGTGGCTATAAGAGCCAGAAGGGCGGCGGCTGCGTGAGGACCAGGTCACAGAAGTTGTATCAGGACCGCCTGTGATTGTGCTCCCCGAGGTTGTAGTGATGGAGCTTGAGCTCGCGGAGGTGTCTGGAGTTTGGGTCGCAGTAGAGCCAGTTGAGGACGAGAGCGAAGTGGACGAAAATCTCGCAGATTCGGTCGTGACTGAACTAAGAGAGCTACTAAAAGTCGAAGTCAAAATTGTGGTAGAACTCTCAGTTGTGGATGTAGTAGATTCAGCAACCCTGCCACAATTTGGATCGCGGTAGAGTAGGAGAGCGATAGTGTCGGAGTCATGGAGAGGGTTGTTGAGGTTCTTTAGCATTCTGCAGTTGTTGGTTGCAGATGTAATATTGAAAACCACACCCACGCAGTACCCGGCACCCTGGTTCTGGTTCGCGTTATCGCAGCGACGAGCGCACAACTCGGGGCTTTCTCTGGTGATCCAGTTCCCGCGGAAACTGGTTTCGGCGTATGTGCGCTCACAGACAAAGTCGTACCTCACACACGTATTGTCTGGGCTCACAAAGCTTAGCCCTGCATATGGGCATGTGCTTGGAGAAGGAGTAGATGTTGTGCTGGTAACGGAGCCTGAAACTGACATTGAGCTGGAGGTGGTGACAGTGGTTGCAGGCCTTCCCCCATCAGACGTAGTCCAGCGAGTGAACAGGGTAGAAGAAATGGTCGAGTCCCGAATGGTAGAAGTGGAGATGCTGGAGACCGTTGTTGAGGTTGCAGATTGTTCAATTGAGGACGTTGCAGAACTAGTTGTCATGCCATCAGTCGTGGTGAGGGTCGTGCTGATCACATCAATAGTTGAAGAGGTCGAAGCAGAAGAAGTCGAGCTGGAGTTCGAGCTGCTGCCAGAGCTGACACTGGCCGAGCTGGTCCAATCAAGCCAGATACTTGCTCCAGGGTAAGGCTCAGCAGGCCACGAATGGGACGAGGCACCGGTGGTCGAAGCTCCATCGCTAGTGGAGGAATAATCCTGAGCAGAGGTAACAGAAAAGATGGTGGTCATACCCAACCACAAGGCTGGAGAAATCAAGGAAGAATGCATGTTGAATAAAGACTTGTAAACCTGGACTGAAACGAGTGACAATGTTAACGAGTGACTGAGAGGGAAGGAAAGAATGACTCTGCTTGATGGACAATTTAAAATCGAGGTCGAATAGCCAGAGCAAGTATATATACCTTCAGCCAACCTTGCAGCAACATTGCAAATACCACCTTCGAACTAATGACTCAGATTAATTTTGGTTCATGGAGCCAACCAGCAATGTCTCGCAAATCCTTGAATTGAATACTTTGGCCAGAATGGCGAAAAGGGTGGTTTTGCACAGGCGACAGCCTCGCGAGAGAGAGTATATGAGATTCCCATCTTGGCAAGACAATGTCCGACGCAAGGGTGATGATCGTCCCAAGCAATACCAACAATAGCATTCTTGAGAGGCAAAAACAATGCATTCCAAGGGTGGATTGATGAGCAAAGGCATGTTTCAGCTGGAGACATTGGTCGAAAGCAGACCTTCAAGCTCGGAGCAATGCTCCGCTGATGCGTCAAGGGTGGCATTCCCTCTCCTCGTGGCACCATCGATAGAGCAAGGAACACGAGCTGGTAGACAGGAGATGACCTGAGCACTATGGCCCTACCTTGAGATATCACGAAAAGCAAGGACAAGGCAAATATCGTGATGAAACGAGAGAAAAGCAGATACCCTACTCCGCGGTAGGAGGAGTGAAAAGGGCATTTCTGGAACTGTCACAATCGCAGGCGCAGGACATGAACGTGCATCGTCGTCAAAGAGGTTTTCCACTTCTAACGATGCGAGCAAAAAAATGACCAACCAGCGGCCAGACAGGATGAAATGTCGAAAACAGGAAGCGCTGAAATACGTGCTCAACCTCAAGTGGTGGTTGAAAGATGAGGAGACGGAAAAACTGGGGTCGGAACGGAAATACTTTTATGACGTGGCTGTCTAGTCACTTCTCCAGCGGCGGGTTCGGTCCATTGTCCCAGTGTCACCCTATTTTGCTGCTGACCTGCTTTCAGCAATCAAGTCCTTTAGGCTTCTTGGGTGAATGGTAACAGCAAGTTCAAAATGACCACGCTCTCTCAATCGTTATAGCCCATGCTCATTTGGTCCCCCCTCTTTCTCTCATGTCAAACGATCTCCCGCTAGTATGGGAGTCTGCCTCTCCTGTCTAGGCGTCGGCCGTCACAGTCATCACGATGTATGTAGCCAACACACTTACACCCCGTCGCGTGCCACGAAGTGAACTATGTCGCGGTTCCCTTTTGGTTGCCATCTGCTAACAGACAATCACCGACAGCCCGACCGCACCCGACTTCTCTACGATGAATACCCAGCCGGCCACAGCTATGGGACGTGGGGCGCATCCAGCGTCCCCCCTCAAAACCTGATGAGCCCGGAAGAAGTCCAGCGCGAACAAGAAGCTCTCGACGGCATCGCCCGGTGGGCAAGCGACCAGATTGTCGAGATCTTTCCACACCACCACCGCTCCCTGGTCATGTCTGCGCCGCAGCTCAACGGCCTCAGCCACGCCAGTGTCGGCGAACAGACCGCGACCAACCCCTCATCCTCCCAACATCAAGACATCCTCCTGTCCCTCATCCCCGGGGACAAATCAAAGCGCTCGATACGGATATATCCAGCATCGCGACCGACCTCGAAGAGCGGCATGTCTCTCCGAAGTAAGAGTTCTGTCGGAACTGGGATGAGCAGTAATGGTGGAAAGTCTGGAGGAGACTCTGTCCTGGTTACGCTGGACGTCAACTTGCCGTAAAGGCGATTGACAGCCATCAACTCACCCACTGAAGAATTGTGGCCTCATGCACATGCGTCATTTTACCCGAGCAGGTTGTCGGCCTTAGTCATCCATCACATGAGAGCGTGGCGCAGGGGTAATACATGGCTGGACCGAGGGCATCCCTTCATAAGGACGACGACACATTCTTCAGATTCAGAGAGAGACTGGCCTGAGCTTTCCCACCCAAGGCAACAGCGGCTCATCAGAAGTCATGGAGTTACCAGCTAACGATATGTTCTCTGGTTTAACCTTGTGCTGGAAGATCTGAAGTACTGACGTGCGTCCTGCGAAAGGAGAGATGTCTGAAATATGTTTGAGTCGCTGAGAGGCTATGGTACGGGAGTGCGGATTATGGCATATTGATATTATTAGTTTGAGAGAACGCTGTCATGATGGCGAGATTTTGCTTGTCATGGAGAGGCGGTTCCAGTGTATATCTACAATTCATTCCATTGGAAGATGAGGCTTTGGACACATGGCTTTTCGGAGCATATATGAAAATGGGAATTAATGATCATGGAAAACGCCAATTGTTGTTTCCTATGCTGAAGGCCCGAAAAAGGAGAGCAACTATCTGGAGGACTTGGGGGTATCTCTGAACTCGGATCATGCTGCTTCGCTATCTGCTTGTCAGAGACAGACGCGGCGGGGGTATCTCAATTGCTCAAGGGTGCACGAAACGCAATATTCTCCCACCATCCTTCCCGGCCCGTTAGCCCAACTGCGGTCATTTGTTTGCTGATTTAGGGAATGAATTGTTGAAGAACAAAGGGTATCGTCGAATTTGCAAGGTTCGTAGTGGCGTCAGAAAGGGGTATAATGGGTAATTAGACGCTCGGGGACAAAACTGAAGGACAGTGCTAAACTTGCGAAAATGGGCCGACTCGGTGAGGGTGCTTGGAGGCAGTAGCCGGGTGGACAACGAGGGCCTGAGGCTTGACAAGATATCGGTCGCGCGCATCTTAACAAGCGGCGGATGGTGTGAGAAAGTTGAGCTCTGAATCATCCGTCAAGCATCGTGTCCGTCTGCATTGGGCGCACCCTACGTTGCAGCGGGAGTGTTGGCCGGAACTGGATCGGCTGGCTTATCAGTAGCCGCTGGAGCATCAGCCGTACCGGTGGCTGTGTAGAGAGAGTCAGGACTGCTGGCTTTGAGACGACCGGGGATATACTCACGAGCAGGAGGAGCGGCCGCCTCGCTGGAAGAGGGCGCGGCGGCGGTGTCTGTAGTTGTCGGCTTCGCAGTGGCAGCAGCACCATTGGTATCTGTCTTGGTAGCAGCGGCGCTGCTCTCCTTATCCTTCTTGCGCCTGAAGAGAGCCTTGAGCTTGTCCATTGCGTCGAGGGCTGTGATTAAGCGATTCGTATTAGAAAGGGATGTTGATCTTGATCTGGTATGGGAAAACTAATCCGAGCCACCGGAGGGACAGGGGTTTCGATGTAGGAAATTCAGAAGAGACACATACGAATTCCAGGCATATGGGCTGACGAAGAGTTGGGTCTGGGGAGGGACGGGCTTAAGTAGGCGCAAAGCAGTTGGGTTCGTAGGTAGGCACGATGTTTCTGTCCGGTTCGATAGGAACGGGCGGGAGGGGAGGGGGTGATAGGGTCTTCCGAGGTGATAATAAGTCAAGCAGGACGAGTGAGGAGCGATGCAGTGAGTGGACAACCCGACGTGACGCAAGAGCGATGGCTTGGAGAGTGAGATGGCTCAAGACGGTAAGATGGGGAGGGTGTTTGGCCTTGTCTCGTGATGGCGCACCCAGGGACAAGATGAGGTGAGGGTGGAGGATTGGACGATCAAGTTCGCACTCTTCGAGTCAGGAGGTGCCAAACTTTAGCTTGGCTGGATAAGTGATCAAGTCTTGATGTTTAGCAATAATTCAGGCATCTCCCGGAAGCGAAGTAGGTCGTTGGGATGGTGGTTAGTTTTCGGCTGTCATCGAGTGTCGTGCGCGGTCGCACGGATCAAGTCGCTACTGGGCAAATGAGAAGTTGTATAGCGCTTCGAAGCTTAGGCTGCGGCGGACTCGGGGAAAATCAACTGCGCCTCACAGGGCGCGCCAACTTGTGCACTTTTGATCTTCCGATCTGCGCATTGCTTGCCCTCGGTTTCAACGGTCACCACAGTCCTTCCTTTTTCAAACAAGATAAGCTGATTCGGAGTGTTTCAAGTCTTTTCTTTGGCCGATGCCGTAGCCATACGTTCCGTCTTCCCAAGGTTCTGCAGGCCGGCTTGCTTCAGGACAAATCGAATAGACACACCAAGCTCTTGATCCCAGTGCACTTGGCTAGCTTAAACCGCCATCAAGTATGTTTGGATCCGCTCGAGGACTTACCTGCTATTGTCTCACGCTGGCCAACTTCCGGGATCACCACCGGAAACCTGCTTGTACGACGTTTGCCAGAGCTTCAGTCATTATGAAAGTGAGATTGGAAACCCCGTGAGAAGAGAAAGATGAGAATGAGAGCCTGGGTTGAACTGCTATTTGTCCGCTGAAGATGGGCGACGCTGGGGACAAGAAGCGCGGCGGGAAGCCGGGCTGCTGACAATTCCCACAGCATCAACCACCGCAGACACTGACTGGCACCCTAGAAACTGGCCATCCAAGTCACAGTCTGCGCAGCCTGATCGATTTTCTACCACCTACCTACCCACGCTGATCTCCTCGTTCACTATCCCTGATGGATAACTGTCAAACTACACGGCCTCACGTCACACCGGGAGAATCGAATATGACCCCTGGAAGAGCAATATCCAGAGTTCACTGGTAACTCCAACACCACCATCACGCTCGAGCCGTTTCTCCCAAATAACCCCACTGAAGTGCGGCTGTTCCGCCGTTGGAGAAACTAAATGACAGCCAATATTCCTCCCCGCACACGGTCAAGCTCGGGTACCGTCGTCTGCGGACTGCGGTGGTGGCGGGGTACTTGTGTTCGGAGTATTGATCAATGGAAGAGTCTTCATATTCGCAATCTGCTTGAGTGGGAGACACTTTGATTCTTAAGAAACCAACCGCTCTTCTTTACAAGACCCAAATCTATCGGTAAGGAGAATCCCAATTTCCTAGACATCATGCGTCTCGACTATGTACCCAACCCTCCAACAAACCTCTCCCCAGAGGACCAAGAGGTGCTGGAGCGGGTCAAAGCACGCCGGGGTGCCATGGGCCTCATTTCGCTGGATTTGACTCTTTTGCATGCTCCCAAGATCGCAGATGGTTTGTTGTCACCGGCCTCTTGATCAGAGTGTTCTACGCTGACCAGTTTAACAGGGTGGAACGCCCTCCTCGGCGCGGTGCGGACAAAGAACTCCTTGCCAGACGACATCCGCGAGATCGCCATCTGCCGTCCTGCCTTGATCAACCGTGCCTGGTTCGAATGGAATGCTCATGCCCCAATCCTCTTGAAATCCCCTGGCTTTTCGGAAGAGAAATTGTCGGTGGTGAAACAGCTGCACCCGACCTCCAAGGGAGCGCTCGATGACCGTCAATGGGCCGTCTTGAGATATGCAGACGCCATGACTCGAGAGGTTACTGTCCCCCAGAGCCTGTTTGACGAAGTGAAGGCCGCAGGTTTCAGTAACCAGGAGATAGTTGAGATTACGGCTACGGTTGCGAGTTACAACATGGTCAGCCGGTTTTTGGTGGCACTGGATATTGGCGAGGCCAACGACAAGGCTCCAGAAGGGCTCAAATAGGGGACAGGACAAAGTTGGCTGGAATCCTGGCGACAAGGACGGGACTGAGAAGTTCTCTCTTTACCCCGAGTCCATGTGCCATGCTTATTAAAAAGTATCTTAAGACAAGTCTTCAATGTTATACTTGCTTTGTCGAGAGAAGTTATTTTTCCCGATAACCCACCTCCCTTTTCAGTTCTTTGTGGGCTGTGGATCCATCATCCTTACTTAGCGGCGCACCCGACGTGTCATCTCATCTCATCTCATCTCGCTCAGTACACAGCAGCCACCTTCTTGTCCTTATCCTTGTCCATGTCGCCCTGCTGGAACCTCAACTGACACCAGTCGCCACACGAGATGGGTTCGTACTTTGGGGGGTTGTCCTCGTCGACGCAGCTAGGCAGGACGCCGCACTTTTCGTTGAAATTGAAGCCGAAGAAGAAGGGCATCGAATATCTTATAGAAAGAAAGGGGGTTAGAACAGTGAGAGAAGACCAAGGTAGGAAGGAAGGAAGAGAGAACATATGCATCCATCCAAGCTAGCAGAACGAAAAAATAGAATGACCAGAAGAAGAAGGAAAGGTGGGAGGAAGAGAGAGGTACCTGTCGATCGTGGATCGGTTGTAGACTCTGTGCACGGTCGACTTCATGCGATCGTTGGTCAAGCGCATCAGATAGTCGCCGATGTTGACGACAAAGGTGCCTTTCACGGGTGTCGCCTTGATCCACTGGCCGTCGCGACCGAGCACCTGCAAACCGCCGTTCATGTCCTGCCACAGCAGCGTGAAGCACTGGAGGTCGGTGTGGGAGCCGAGGCCGACGTCCTGGCTCTCGGCGGCGTCCTTCTTCTCGGCCGACGACATGGTCGGGGGGTAGTAGTTGAAAACGCCGTCGCTGCCCGGGTACGTCGTCACGGCGTCAAAGTAGTCCTCGGGCAGGTTGAGGCAGAGGGCGAAGATGCGGACCAGCCGCCGCGCCAGCTTCAGGCATTCCTGCCAGTAGGCGATGCAGTCCCTCTTGAACCCGGGCAGGTGGTCGGTGCCCTCCCAGACGTAGTTCTCGCCGCGGATGTACGGCTGAACTTCTGGCGGAACGGCGTCAGGGTCCTTCGGGTCCGGGTCGTATTGCGGCTCATATCTCCACGAGAAGGATTCACGGTAGTCCACTGTGTATTCTCCAGTCAAAACGAAGATCATGAAATCATTCAACAGGAGCAAAAGCCCCGGCCCCCAATGAAGTGAGAAAAGGGGCACGACAACTCACATCCTTCCGTGGGACTGGCCATGGCCGTCATCTTCCCTGAATAGCCATTGTACCACTTCCCCAGGGACTTGGACACCAACATCTTCTTGTCCTCGGGTTGTGCGAAGAAGGTCTTCGCTGCGTTTAGTGCAGCGTCGACCGTGGATTCAGGGATGCCGTGGTTGCGGATGTAGAAGAAGCCCGTGTTCTCGGCCGCGTGCTTGATGGTCTGGGCGAGAGCCTTGCGTGCTTTGAAGTCGCCGTAGATGGGGCTGAGATCGATCAACGGGATCTCGTCCGGCCGGGCATCTCGCGGCGGGTTCGTCGACACGTTACGATAGACGGGCCCGTAAGCAGTTCGAAGCTCCAGCTTCACGAAACCTGGCTCCTGCTGCTGCTGCTCGACTAGCGATGTGGTCGACATGATTGCTTTTGCCGTACCAACCCTTCTTCTGAACCACGGGCCGCTAGCTGGGCGACAGTACCATATTTCTCTCTCTCTCTTTTATATTCCTCGACGGCCTAATAACTGTAATGATGATGCCTTGCCTTAGGCAGCAGCTTTCACAGGCCTGGGTACACCCTCCTGGCGTTACAATCGACTAAGGGCCTTGTCGGGATATGTCCGTGGGCGGCGACCTCCGATATCTGACATACATCCGTTCGAAGAGCACGCAAGGTGAATCAACAGTTGCCTGCGCTCTCGAGACAAAGACGATGAGGTGGCAGAGACGTGGGATCAGGATACTTTGAAGCGTCGGTTGAGGTCAGCCATTCATCCTTGACAACCTGGTACAGTTTGCTGGGATCGACTCGAATCAGATTTCACTTTGGCATCACTAGCAAAGAAAACTCACCTTTCTCGGTTGCCTCCCACACACACACCCACGGCTCATCGAAAGGCAGCAGCGCATGAGAGAAGAAGAAAAAACAGAAACACAGAATCAGCAGGAGGAGAAACCTGGTGGACTGGGAAAAGGGAGTTGAATAATGTCTCAGTCATAGTGTCTCTGTCTTCTTGACACAATTCATTTTTCACTTCATTTTCTTGTCTTGTAGAAACAGCTCCTGCAAAATGTCTGTTCGACTTGGTGTCTCGATGCCGTGGAGACGTATGGCCCTCACTGTTGGGAAATAATCCAGCTCACTATGGTACATGTATGTGCACGTAACGCGTATTCACCATCTGTCCAACATTCCTCCATGTCGAATGTCAGAGGCATCTCTCATTCTTCTGCAAATGAAAGAAGATCTCGCTTCGTTGGTCGACTAAAGAAGAGTTCGATTCTTCCACTAGGCAAAGAAGAGCTCAGTTGTTTGCAAAGAAAAGAAGAGCTCGTAACCACCCTCTCTCCATCATCTCTGCGAAGTTCGGGACCAACATCACAGTGCTGCTTCTGTTCTCGTCAGCCGCAGAAGGGCGTACCAGAACGTAGTCGATCATTGCAATGAGCCCGTCAGTCCAGTGTTTCATCTTTTCGCCATAGAACCACTCAAAGTCATAGTGCTTATGAAGTGCATCCGACTTCTTCTGGAGCTCCGTGCGCAAATTCTGAAGGTGGTTGCGTGCATAATCGGCCATTTGCCTACTGCTCACATCGGTGACGACCTCGCACAGAGTGATTGCTGCCACAGACCAGGTATGTAAGTCAAGAGGATTGTACCGGGGGGCATTAGAGGTCGCCTTTGCATCTTCAATGAGGACCTGGGCCAGATTGACGGCACGCTCGAGAACAATGGAAGGGAACGGGGGCGTCTGTGGTTGATACGGGCTCAGCATCACCTCCAGGAACCAGTGGAACTCCTTGACAATCGCCGAGTCTCGGAGAGTTTCGTCAAACATGAGAAGGTGGACCTCGAAGGCATGCTGCAAAAACATCTTCTGATTGAGTCTCGACTCTACACCGGCATTGTTGCGAGGCAGGACCACCTCGGAGAGAAGGTCAAGCTGGTTTACGCCGGTTTGCATGTACGTTGCTTCGACGGTAAGCCCCAGGTAATTGAGGTGTCGGGTCGAGAGGTTTTGGGGGTTAGTCACTTCGGCTGGATTAAGAGCGATGCTCAAGAAGTGAAACTTGCTCAGGACAAGGACGCAGTTCATAGCCAGGTTGACTGTATGGATGAAGTCGACCGGGGCGGAGAAAATGTTTGGGATCGTACCATGAGCGGAAACATCGTGCAGGTGCGTCAAGATGAGTCGACCGTGGTTAAGCAGGCGTAGCTTGGACTTGTCTTCATCACCTCCCAGGTGTTTGACATCATTCTCGCAGGTGACCGAGACCAAGGCACAAGCCCACGCCATTGAGAGATTGGTCTCCACCGAATGATCTGCTGGCGAACCATAGGCTCCACCACAGAGATAGTCCAGCAACTTGTCGTAGTTTGCAAAGTAGGTAGAGGTAAGGGTCGGAGTCGGGCGGCTGATGGCTGGGTCCAGGTCGTGATTCAAGGAGGAATCGTGGGTACCGTTGACAGTGAGTCCGGCTCTGAGGTCTGGCAACAGGTCGACAGCGACAGCAAGCGCGTGTTGCACCTCATTTTCAGCGCCGCTGACCACCGCATCAACAACGTTATTTTCGGGAAGCAATGGAAAGAGCGGATGATATTGCTCGTAGTACTTGGCCAGAAACGGATGCTCCATTTTGATGGGTGGCAAGTCGTCGTTGGGTCCGAGGATGCGAGGACGTTTGGCGCGATGAGAGTTGTCGATGTCACTCGAAAGTGTTTTGGAGGAATTTTGGAATTCAGACTTCGGGTTTGACTCTTCGTCAGGAATCGCAGCTGGAAGAGTCTCGTTGGGAGCGATGGCGAGGCTTCCAATAGCACGCGATCGAAGATTAGGAGCAATCGAGGTGATACCCCAACCGCCAGTGCTTGGAATGCGATCTCGTTGGAATTCGGCTCTGGAGAAAGGGCTGACGGTTTGGGAAGCTGAGAAAGAAGAAGCACGATTAAAACCTGGACCACTTGGCTCATCAGGCGAAAAACTCTCGACGAAACCTGCAGGACCGGCATCCAGTGACTGTCTTTGTTTTTGTTCCAGTCCGTGAACTCGTTCTGCCAGCGCGCTGATATATCTGTGTCACGTGTTAGTCTTCCATCGCTGGCGACGTCGCGAGACAAGCTTAATCAAAGAAACAACTGACCCTTTGCTAGGACCTCGCTTCATGGGCTTGCGCTCGAATTCGCAGTTCACACCAGCCTTCTGGCAGTTTGTGCATGTCTTTGGGGTGCCGTCCACCTCAGTGGGTGCATCACATTTGACCTGAAAGGGAGGTAGGTTAGCACCAAAGAATGATGGTCAGGGTCTTTGCTCTGAGGATTGTGATCGCACTTTCTTTCTACGACATTCGTCGCATGCACGGGAAGCCTTTGAACGCTTTCTCTTATCGCCCGTTTGAGGGTCTTGGGGTGTCTCAGAGGATGCATCCATGCTTGACCGTGCGCCAACTGGAAAGGTTGCCTGGTGTGGTGTCTGCGGAGGGGCCATCGCGGGATCGGTCACAGAGGAGGCTGCAGCGCCATTTGGACCCAGAGGTATGCCATTATTTACGCCTTCATGGTTGATCTTGTCGACTGAAGATACTCCCTCTTCCATCGGTCGCGCATAAGGAGGCATGGAGTAGTTCGGCGACATGCTGGTCAGCTCAGTGTCGATAGGGTAGTAGGATGAACCGAAATGCGAGGAGCCAGACCCGGTGAAATTGCCTGTCGGATCATGGGAAGGTTGGTCGCGACCACCAGTTGGTCCTGCCATCGTTTTTTCCAACGCGTTGGAGCAAGAAAGAGATGATGCCGTGCTTCCGAAAGATGGAAGATGGTGAGAGAGACCCGCGACTGAACGGCAAGTGATGCTTTGGTCAAGCCGAGTTCACGCTTGTGCCGAATTAGGGACTAGCGTTGTTTTTGTGGTGGTGCGAGCCTCGAGCCTCGTGCGGCTTACTTGCCTTGCCTGCCACTTAGCGTGAGGCTGTTGTCCGATACAGCCCGACAATGGTCGAAATCTGGGGAGAGCTCGAAAGGCTCTGTCCGATGCCGACCCACGCGTGCATGCCACGCAATAATCTCGCTCCACAGCCTCATGGAACGGGTGCACTTTTGACCGACATACATACATGCTGGCGCGCTTGGTGTTTACAAAGCAAGTTGTTTGCACTACTCGACATGGCCTGCGCTGCGAGGCGAAATGCACAACAAGAATGCTACCACGACGGATGCAGGTAACCGAAGTATCGTGCTGAGACCCTCCCGGTTCTTTACAGAGGTGCTAAACAGAGAGAATCATGATGCACGATGTCCAATGCACGAGCCAGCGATTATTCGTCAGAACGCCTGAAAAGAAGCCCTAGGGTCTGTGACAAAAAAGAGTCGGAATCATATGTCTGATAACTGGGTCGAAGCGGGTCTTCATACTACGCACACTGGTCGAAGAAGGAGGAGACACCGTCCAGATTGTGAATGTCCCTGAAACGGTTGACACACAGTCAAACACTTTTCCCATGATACCCACAAGCTTGGCTAGTCGGCGAGTACAGCACAACGAACCAAGGGAGGGACATATCCAGGTCTTTTGAGGCAGAAGGGACAGGGAGATGTTCATGACAACAAAAGAATGAGAGAAAAAGGGACTGCCTCCTTTATTATCGGACAGACAGTACTGTCTTAGCTATTTCATCCAAGGACTGATAGATCACGCTGGATGGGCTCTCAACAGGCTGGTAGATGCTGCATGCGATACAGTTGAGTCGACTGCGCCAAAGGACAATGAAAAGCTGGAAATCACAAGCGTGGAAGGTATTCAGTAGATGTTCAGATAGATTGCTATGACACACTGATAAGCTGTTGAACATCTTCGACTTGAGTGTCGCTTTTGTGCAGTTGGTGTTTTCAGACGTCTTCCAAGCGTGATTGTGTCCACTCACAGACATCACCATTTTGTGGGCGAAGGATAGAGGCGATTATCTGGTGTCGCCTATCATGACAAGAACCGCGACCGTTCCTGATTGGAGTTTGGAGTCGCAGCAATGCAGCATTGTACTCGTATCCGATGCGAAAGGCTGATCGAAAAAAGGAGGCCACCAACACTCTGGCCTGGCACTGCCTGGCTATGAGCAAACAACCCCGTGAACAAATTTCTATGTATGCGTGCAGATTTCTTATTATTCGAGACCCACACACCAACTTCTTCGTATTTACCTAGGTATCTTGTATCTTCGGATTTGCCCTACTAAGTTTTTTTTAGTGCTTTTGCTCCCACGCACAACAAACACATGCACGCAGGTATGTACTCGGGTACTCGTACTCGTAACTTGGGTCCAAAATCCTGCTGGGGAAAAAAGCGCAGAGTCATGTGTGCGCCGTGTATGGGTCGACCACTACTCGTTACTCGCTACTGTCACTCATAATTATGGATTCTCGCATCTT